GCTTCCCTTGTATAAAAAAGAGTGGTACTGCAATAAGACCTATTTTGACAAGTTGACTCAGGCTTCCTCATGTAATCCATAAATCTTTCCTGCCTAGAACAATATGCAATATATGTAAAGAAACCTTTTGCTAAAGTTTTCCCAAACTCAAAGGAGGCATGAAAATGTAAAGAGAGAGAAAACAGAATGCTAGAAGAAATTTATTGACTTTCCTCATTTCCAAAGATGCTAAAGATAACATAAGGCAATTCATTCTATTTTTTTTTTTTTTTTTTTTTTTTTTGGTTTTTCGAGACAGGGTTTCTCTGTGGTTTTTAGAGCCTGTCCTGGAACTAGCTCTGTAAACCAGGCTGGTCTCGAACTCACAGAGATCCGCCTGCCTCTGCCTCCCGAGTGCTGGGATTAAAGGTGTGCGCCACCACCACCTGGCCAATTCATTCTAAATTTAAAATAGATGTAAAATTCTACACTAAATACAAAGAAGAATATACCAGTAAATCAAACATAAACTTAGTATGGAAAATACCAGAGTCAAAGGCTTAGAATTTAATCTAAATCTAAACAAAAAATATGCTGGGTGGGGTAAAGTACGCCTTTAATGCCAGCAAAAAAGAGAGGCAGTCAGATCTCTGTGAGTTACAGGCTAGCCAGGTTTATACAGGGAGACTCAAAACAAGCAAACAAAAACAATAAAAATATAGTTACCAACTGTCACCTATGTTTTTATTGGAAAGTACCTACAACTTGTATGAAATTCCCCTAAGGAAAGAATGTGTAACACTTCAGAGTCAATAAGACTTGGTTTCAGAATCAGCTCTTCTTACCTCTATATAATCTTGAGTCTCATATAAAATATATAGTGTATGTGTTGTGTGTGTGTGTGTGTGTGTGTGTGTGAGAGAGAGAGAGAGAGAGAGAGAGAGAGAGAGAGAGAGAGGGAGAGGGAGGGAGGTTTTATGGGTAACCAGATAAATAATATCCACTCACCAATATTTGTATACACATGCATGCTATAGATTATTTGGAGGTCAGAACAACCTGAAGGAAGGGGTCAGTTCTCTCCTATCATATAGGGTCTGAAAATCAAATTCAGGTCATCTATTTCAGTACTATTATTTTTTTATTAACGCCACTAATTGTTGGTGGTGGTATTTTTACTCTTTGGTCTTTTGACTTTGGGGAGCCCACAGCCCAGCTCCTGAATAAACTATACACAGAGGTTTGTTCTTGGTCATGAATGTCGGGCCTTAGCTTGGGTTGTTTCTTGTCAGCTTTTCTGAAATAATCCCAACTAGCTTTTGCCTCTGGGTCTTTTCCTTTTCTTTCTTCTGTGTATTTTACTTTCACTCTTACTCCATGGCTGGCTGGGTGGATGGTTCAGATGTCCTCCTCCCCCTGTTCTCTTATTGCTCCTCCTCTTCTTTGGTTCTCCTTCTTTTATACTTTGTGTGCCCGTCCTACCTCCTTGGTTCTGACTCATCATTCAGATATTTATTAGATTGTCGGGTGTTTTAAATAGGCAAAGAATCACAGCTTCACAGAGTTAAACAAATGCAACATAAACAAAAGTAACACACCTTAAAACAATATTCCCCAACAACTAATATCTACATTGACCAAAGATTGAAATCTATGTATAATACCACTGACAGGACAAATGGAGTCAAAACAGGTGAGGATCAACAATCTGGAAGATAACGGCTAACATGAATAACTCAAAGTGAACAGCAATGATAAAATTTACTAAGGCCATGGATAAAACACCAGAGCAGAGGTGGTATGTGCCTGTAATTCCAGCACTGAGGAGACAGAGGCCATCTATCTAGTCAGAGAGTGTTTCAGGACTTCCAGCGTTGGGAACAGGAAGGGCCTTGTACCCACAGATCAGAGAAACCAGGAATGTTAAGCATACAGGACTGCCCTTTCAAAGGGAAGAACATATAACCGGTTTTTTCATCCAGAACGTTGGGAATTGGAGGTGAATTATCTGTTGGGTCAGAGCAGATCAAACTCTCACAACCAACATCAGAGATGGTTAGTAATCTAAATGACCATTACCTCTATAGTCAGAGGCTCCCCCAAGCTCCTACGACCAGAATCAGAGATGCCTAATAGCACAAATGACCCCACACCCCACACTATCTGTATGGCTGGGACCAGGCCAGATCCTTTCTTAGGCCTTAAGCTAATACAGGGTAGCCTATCTCTAAAACCCATCTTCTTATAAGAAATGGCATTTACTTTGAATTGAGTTTTGATGCGACTAAGCACCAGGTATTTTATTATACCAGGATACTTCTTCTCTAAGTTGCACTGCGCCTAAACAGGCATCAATAAACTGGTCTAAGTCACACTGAACAGAGTTTTGCATTCTTACCTCTTCCCAGTTTGTTTCCCTGCCTGACACCTGCAGACAATCCCACCAATCTCAGGACTACTGTACTGTGTAATAAAACCCTGCCTTAAAAACTGAGTATGGCAGCCGGGCGGTGGTGGCGCATGTCTTTAATCCTAGCACTCAGGAGGCAGAGGCAGGCGGATCTCTGTGAGTTCGAGACCAGTCTGGTCTACAAGAGTAGTTCCAGGAAAGGCTCCAAAGCTACAGAGAAACCCCGGGGGGGAGAGGGAAGTATAACTATATTTGTATGCACAGACCTATAAAGCTCTTCTGAAAGTCTAACGAGTTTAAAAAGGGTTTGTATTAGTAAGCATGCCATTATTTTTAAGTATAACTTCTTTGGAAGGATATAATACTGTTAAATGTCTAAAGGGGAAAACTACAATTGTTTAACAGAAGGGAAAAGACAATTTATTGCTCATTCCTTTGTACCTTGTCAATAGGTTAATCAATTAAAAAAATCAATAACATTGGAGAACTAGAGAGATGACTATACTTACAAACAAAAGATGATAAGTATGAAAAAAATAAGGAAAATTTCTTGACATTTTTTGACAGGGTTTTAATTATCCCAGACTGGCCTTGAACTCTCGATCCTCCTACCTTCATCTCCAAAATTCTGGAAATACAGGTGTGACCTAGGATGCCCAACTCAGAATAAAACATTTTTTAAAAAGATTTTACTTAACTTTATTCTATGTGCATTAGTGTGAAGGTGTTCAAGCACCTGGAACTGGAATTACATACAGTTGTGAGCCACCATGTGGCTGTTGGGAATTGAACCTGGGTCCTCTAGAAGTGCAGCCAGTGCTCTTAACCGCTGAGCCATCTGTCCAGTACTGGGGTAAAACCTTTTTTAACTATATTCAAAAGCATCTATTGTTCTTAGAGGTAGCAACTGGTAGAATTTAGAGAAGCAGCAATAAATCTATGCAATACTCATTACACTCCCCTCAGCCACTCTGCAAGGTGACTCCTTCCAACACACGACTGAGCCTGGAATGACCTGGAAGTGTCCAGAGTGCTCTGCAGGTTCTCACTAAGAACAAACCTGCTTTCTAGGATTTTCTACAAACACTGAACATTTCTTTGGAAATACTGGCTAATTTCTCCCAAAATTTTACTTGTTACCTTGTAATCATTGACAAAACTAAAGAACTGGTCTAGAAACCAAAACTTTAAAATATGGTAGAATTCTGGAATGCTCTCTACATGCTGTTCTATTTCATTTTCTGCTTTGTAAATAAAATAGCTAAGAAAAGAAAAATAAAAGCAGAAAGATGAATAGCATGTGTATCCTTTCTCACACCACCAAGGATTCCAATCCACGTGCTCATTCATACCCAACACAAGCTTTCCCCACAAGAACAAGTCCACACCATGCAGAACAACAGCCTCATGATGAAGCTCTGTACAAGTCTAATTGGCTACTTGGCCCAGGCAACTGATGTTTTTGTTGTTGTTTTAAAATTTCAAGTTAGTAGCTGGATCATGCAAATTGATTAATAAAACACTGTTGTTGGCAGCAAAAATCTTCAAGAGGAAGGAAATATTTTTAAAGCCATGATTAAATGTGTACTGGGGGTGCGGGTGGCAATGCAAGCACACATATTAATCTCTAAATCTTAAGAAAAAATTTCATCTAATTTCACTCCAATTACTTATGAAAATCTCAAAGGGCAAAATTGGGAGGAATTTTACCATCATAGGTGAAGTTTGGTGAACATAGGCTATGCCCCAAACTCTAGTCCACAATCACATATTGGCCAGTGGTAGTTGCAGCAGCAAAACTAGAAAAACCAGCCTCTCCTGATATCTTGAGATCATTTCCCACTACTGGAACATCAAGTCTGGGCCTGCCAATGCAATAACTACTAGTAAAAAAGGCTTATCATTTTCATTTGAATTTAAAGCAATTTGGATATTTACTCCCACTAGCATGCTCTATTTGTATACTAAAAACGAAAAAAAAAATAAAGCCGTTTAAAATAATCAGCCAGATTTTTTTTCTCCTGTAAATACCTGCACCAAATAATGATTGATACTTTGCCTAATAAACTTTACACACAGGGGCTGGAGAGATGGCTCAGTGGTTAAAGAGCATTGCCTGCTCTTCCAAAGGTCCTGAGTTCAATTCCCAGCAACCACATGGTGGCTCACAACCATCTGTAATGAGGTCTGGCGCCTTCTTCTGGCCTGTAAGCATACAGACAGAACATTGTATACTAAATAAATAAATAAATAAATAAATATCCCCCCCCACCAAAAAAAAAAACTTTACACAGGATGTGCAATATAAAGAGGATTGCTAAAAAATAAAAATAAATAAAAAATAAAAATAAAAAAATAAAGAGGATTGCTATGTTCCTCCACAACATTCCATAAAACTCAAGATTCAATGCTGCATCAAAAAGGCATGCAACCAAGTCTCCAGTCTCCTCTAGCTGAAACAGGCATGCCTTAGCTGGGGGGTTTCATGCCAGCAAAGCAATGCTCAACAAGGATGATTAGAGTCTAAATGGAACCAAGGCACAGGCTGATTGCTATGGTGAGGCTGACTCAAAAACCAAAGCACATCCGTTTTCCCACGGCAAGGTCATACCACTGGACTTGAGCAGCTTCGATTTATCTCTTTCCTGGCTTGCAGACTTTGGCAAAAGTGGGGTAAGTCCTCGAGACTTCGTGGGTCTCATGTAGCCTTTCACTGGCTCTGTCATCTTGCTTTTATCTTCCTTCTTCCTTTCACTCAACAGCTTCAGTTCAGATATGCCCATCATCTTCTGAGGAGCTTCAATCTCATTACCTTTGAACTGTGGAACTTGGGGATCCTTGTAAGCAGTCACTACTAATTTATCTTCACCCTCCACACTGCCACATGAGAAGTCAGACTGTTCTGTTGTTGGCACAGCAACACACCCCAATTGCCTGACTTCACAAGACAAACTAGTTTCTTTTAATTTATCCTTTTCATTTTCTGGAGGCAAAAGAATGGTATCTACCTTTTTACCTAAACTATCTGAGCCCTTGGAATCTCTCTCATTTTGGTCCTCAGACAAATTAAATTTCGGTGTTTTACTTCTCAGAGGGTCGGGGTTTTGAACTGGGGCAGGGTGTTTCTCAGTTCTCTTCTCTTCCTTCACTAGAGATGCTGGCAAACCAGCACTACCTGCATGTGCTTCTAGGACTCTCAGCTCTTGTGGCAGGTTCTGGCTTTCTGTGGGCACACTAGGTAGGACATGCCCTTCAGCTGGCTCTGTGGCAGGCCCTGCTGAATGTTTAGAGGACCCGTGCTGCTTTGGCTCTGATTCTCCTATCTCATGCCTTTCAGGGATTATCCCTATTTCATTCTTCCTGCAATCTGAAAGCTCACCATTATTCTTAAGAGAATGATCTCCATGACTGTTAAACTTTCCTTGGGCTCCTGTAGAAGTCCCAGGAACTCCTTCAGTACTAGTAGAGGGCACAGCAGCAGAGGGAGCTTTGAATCTTTCTTGACCTGGGACTCCATCTTTGCTGTAAGTATCCTGTACTAATAAGCTGGAGTTCTGGGCTAGGAATCTCTCCTGCCCACTTTTTCTGGAGGTGTCAGGGAAAGAATCATCTTCCTTTACTACTTGAGGAGTAGGACAGGGCAGTGTTTCACAGCCTGCTGATTCCATCACCTCTGGAGGAGCTGACTTACTCATCAGCCCTGTTGGTGCTATCCCAGAAGTAAAGGTAATATTTCTATTTTCATCCATATACCCCATTCCTTCAGTTCTACAGTCTGCTGTGGTTTCCATGGGAATGTGTATTTTTGTTGTATCTGTCTTAATCTCCAAAATGTGCTTCTCGGGAAAACTATTTTTAATTTTTTTACACTTCCCATCATTGCTCCTTTTATTAGGTTTGTCAGCCACTGCAGTGTGTCCCTTGGCTACACGTGTCTTGTTTTCCTTAGGTTCTTTTGAGGGAACAAATCCTGCCCCACAGATTGAGTCTTGGGGGCTCCCATCTGTCACCTTGGTAGCTGGTTCAATAGTAACAGTAGAACCTTGGACTGAGTTTGTCTTATTTCCCACAAGAGCCCCAAGTTCAACAGAATTAGACTCAACATTCTTACTCTTTTTGTCGGCAACTTCCACTGTGGGTGTGTGTGATGTGTGTGAGAACAAAGAATCGTGTATTTTAGGGAAAGTCTGGCCTAACTCCCTGTGGTTATGGGCTATATCACCATCATCACTCTCCTTTAGACAAGGCAAGCAGATGACTTCCTCCTTGTCCTCCATTTTGCGAAGTTGTACAGGGTAATTATTTTTAAACTTTTTGTTTCTGCCTTCATTGTCTCTCTTTTTGGTCTTTGCAGAAATCCAGGGAATTGACTCATGATCCATCCCAGGACACTTCCCTTCCTTGCTCTGGTTTTTAACCTCAGCTCTTCTTTCTGAACTAGCCTCCGAAGTATGAGTCAAGCTTGACCCAGTTTCCATAGAAATCAATGGCTGTACGGTGCTTCCCACACCAGCATCAGCCATGTCTTCAGACACCCTCACCACTGACTCGGTGAGATCAGAAATAGCCTCTGGTTGCTCTGAGGAATCCAAGCCTAGCCCTCTTCTCGGAGCCTCAATACTCACTATTTTAGGTTCAGGGACTGGCTCATGTGGCATAGTAACAACTCTCTGCTCCTTCACACTGTTCGGAAGGAATGACACCTCAGATTTGTTTCCTAACTTCCCAGAGCCTACTTTGACTTTCCCAGGACCCCTTCCCTTTCTGTTTTTGCTGTCACCTATCTTTCTCTTAAATGGCTCAATCTCTAGCACAGGAGCCTGAATTAACTCCTGGTCTTTCAGCTCCTTAGAAGCAGACAGGCTGGTTGCTTCTTTCTGCTGGGGGGACGTCTCTGGTTTTAGTTCTCTAACATCGTCAGCTCCAGCAGCAAACCCCTGTACTTCACTCATTTGACTTTCCCCACTCCCTTCTTTTAGATGGTCTTTTGACGGACTGTGCTCTGCTGAAGTGAGGGTCAAATTTGATAGTACCTTTTCTGTTGTAGGTTCTGAAACTCTATCCATAATCTCTTGACCCACTATGGGCGAACCACTTCCTAGCCGAGTTGTTCCTTTGTGTGCAGCACTGCCTATTGGAGACCCTTCCAAACTGGACAGGCCCTCTGCCCTGCTCGCATCTTGATTCTCTGGCACTGAGCTGTTCCCTCTGTGGTCTTCTTCTACTCTCAGCTTGAGCTGAGCATTTACAACAGTCTCTGTAGGTTTTTCTGGACATGAAGTAATGTTGTGACTTTCTGTACAGTCAAATTTCAAAACTTCTCTGGATACAAGGCCATATTCTGTGCCCACAGTAGTTGGTTGGCCAGGATCAACATCTGACTTCAAGGGCCCAAGAACAGGATGATCTTTGGGCTTGTCTGCATTGTCATCCCAAGGTCCCCCAGCTCGTGACTGAGGATATCTCTTTTGCTTTGATTTCTTTTTCTTTTTCCTCATTAACATAGGCATGTTTTCTATATCCCTGGCCTCCCTGCCATGGTCTCTCTGGGACACTAGGGATTCAGCATAAATACTTTCCCTTTGGTTCCCATGCTCACCACAAGAAGATGAACCAGAGACCAAACCCAACTCAGGCAAAGGGTAGGGGCCCAGCCTAGGATCAAGAGTCTTCCATGAAAGAGAACCTTCCAGCAGCTCAGGAGGGACCCTGGCAGGCCTGGCCCGGGTTGGCCTGTGGTCACCGGGTCTGTAAACGTGTTTACCTTGTGAAGGAGAGGTACCTGTAATACACGAATTTGGCTAAAATTCAAAACAACAAATTTCTTGTCATCATTTCTAAACCGAAATTTTTTTTAGTGATTCATTTAAGTAGTCTATGTTCACGGCATTCATTCATAAATCTTTTATCTAAATCATTTTCATCCTTATTTGGAGCAATCAAAGATCATTACCTTAGATCAAGAATTTTTTTCAGATATATTTATATAACATTAAGACATTTAAAATCTTTACCTTATTGAAGTAGTTAAATAAACTGAGAAAATTTAAATAATAAGCTAAAGACCGACAGAATAGTGAACAGTTCAACTGGATCAAAACTTAGTGTCCTCAACTGACAGAACAGCAAATATGAGCATTGCCTGCTCTTCCAAAGGTCCTGAGTTCAATTCCCGGCAACCACATGGTGGCTCACAACCATCTGTAAAGAGGTCTGGTGCCCTCTTCCAGCCTGCAGGCATACACACAGACAGAATATTATATACATAATAAATAAATAAAATAAATATTAAAAAAAAAAGAAATGGAAAGTATTGAAGAAAATTGATTTTATAAACTGTACAGCTAATAACTACCACCACACAAACCAAATAATGCACCATCACCATCCCACCATGTGTAACTGTGGTATCTGAAGAAAGTTCAGATTATCCCCACCTTACCTGAAGAAAGTTCACAAGACTGACTGCCAGATGTTTCCTTTTGCTCTAAATCCTCTAACACAGAACCTTCATCTATTGGTAAGTTTGATTTTTGGTCTGCAGCTTTGACTGGTTCTAAACGTAATAGTAAAATTCATGTTAAGTTTCAGAGAAACAGGATTTCAACTGTTTTTTTTTTCATCTGCCATAAATTGGAGATGAGAATGTGATTTAGAGAATTCTCCTACACTAAAGAACAGAAAACGAGAGGAGCAGTTGGAAGGCAGAGTCAAGAGGGTTTCCTTGCTTTCCTTTTTTAAAATTAAATGTGGAGGCGCATGCATGTCACAGCATGTATCTGGAGGTCTGAGAACAGCAGCTCTCAATTGGTTCTCTCCATTCACCATATAGGTCCCAGTAACTTAACTTAGGTCACCATATTTCACGGCTGGTGCCTTTACATAATGAAATGTCTGTCTTTGTAGATAAAATAAAGCAAAAACTAAAAACAAAAGAGCTGGGCAGTGGTGGCACATGCCTTTAATCCCAGCACTTGGGAGGAAAAGGCAGGCAGAACTCTGTGAATTCAAGGCCAGCCTGGTTTACAGACTGAGTTAGTTCCAGGACTGGCTCCATAGCTACTGAGAAAAACCCTGTCTCAAAACAGCCTCCAGCCCCCCCCCAAAAAAAACCCCAAAAACAAAACAAAAAAAACCCCCAAACAAACAAATAAAAGAAGACAGACAAACAAACAAAACCACCAAAATGTTTTTGAAAGACGGAAGGTATAATCCAATGGAAAGGACATTTAATTAAGAGGAACTGAAAAGAGAGTGATGGCTAGAAAACGGCATACTTAAGGGGATGAGACTTGTCCAGTGAGGAGAGGGTGGCTTTCCTTGAGAAGAGTTTACCCATAAAAACAAGAGAATGGCAGAGGTAGTACACACACATACAAGCCACGATGGTGCTTTGTGGATCTTATTGCCTTATTTGTCAGGAAGAAAAGCAAGGATGAAACCGGCAGTGGTAGCGCACGCCTTCAATCCCAGCAGAGGCAGGCGGATCTCTGTGAGTTCAAGGCCAGCCTGGTCTACAAGAGCTAGTTCCAGGACAGGCTCCAAAAACTACAGAGAAAGGCTGTCTCAAAAAACAAAAAAACAAAAACAAAACAAAACAAATGAACAAAAAAAAAAAAGAAAGAAAGAAAAAGCAAGGATGAACACAGAATGTGACTAGCCAGAGGAAGGGGAGGGCAAGGTCACGGACTGGAGAAACGGGAGTGGACCTGTAAAGCACCAAGGGTCTATTTCTACCGAATTCGGCACTTGTTCCCTAGTCTATACATTAGTGGAGAGAATGCTGAAAGAAAGTAGGAGCCCATACCTGGTAGAATCATACAAGAAGGTGCTACTGACTGTCCCTTGTGCTGGACAGATTCTAACTGGGAGTCTTCATTTGGTTCTTCTTGGGTCTGTGCATTTTCCTTGTCTTTAATTTGAACTGTTGCTACTTCTGTTTCCAAGGGTAGTGTAACATCCTTGGCTGGAGTCACACTGTTGTCCAGGGTCATCTGGGTTCCCGAAGGCCAAATGGCATCCTCAACCCGGGGAGCCTCTGTTTCTGGAGGTAGAGACATGTCCTTGACTAAGGCCACCTCTTTTTCTGAAAGTGGGGTCATATTGTTAAACTCAGTCACCTTTGTTTCTGGAAGTATAACCACTTCCTTGCCCAGAGACACTTCTGATTCTGGGAATGGAGCCATATCTCTGACCATGTCCAATTTTGTTTCAGGGGGTGGAGCTATATCCTTATTCATGGTTATTTCAGTTTCCAGAGATGGAGTCATGCCTTTAACCAGAGATCCCTCCGTTTCTAAGGGCAAAGTTACATCCTTTGTCAAGATCATCAGGGTGTCTGAGGGCAGTGCCAAGTCCTTTGCAAGGCCCACCTCTGCTTCTGAAGCCAGGTCCATCTCCTCAGCCGAAGGCGTTTCCATAGAGGACACAGCATCCTTTGCCAGTGCCACCTCTATTTCTGAGGGTGGAACCATGGCCTTGACTGGTGCTAGCTCTGTTTCTTTGGGAAGAACCACATCCTCAGATGGTACCAAGTCCATTTTCATTGGAAGTGCCATCTCTGTTTCTTTGGGCAGTGTCACATCCTTGCCTGGGACCATTTCAATTTCTGTAGGAGGTGCCACCAAAGATACATCTGCTTCTGTCGGTCCCTTAACTGGGGCCACCTCTGTTTCTACATGCAGTTCCATGTCCTCAGCCAGGAACATATCTGATTCAATGGATGGCTGTGTAACATCTGACAGAATCACATCTGGTTTGGTGGTCTCCTCTGGGTCTTTAGAAAATGTCACTTCTGTTTCTGTGCCTGGTGTCATGTCTGTGGAAGGAGATACCTCTGCTTCTCGAGATGGCACCACATCAGTGATCTTCTCTTTTGCCATCATTTCCAGTGCTTCAGTTGGCAGCTGCTCTTTTACTGATTCCACTTCTATTTCCTTGGATAGCTCTAAGAAAATTAATTTTAAAAAATTTAGAACCCAGCAGGGCTAGAGAGATGGGTGAGAGGTTAAGAGCACTGACTGGATCTTTTAGAGGACCTGGTTTTAATTCCCAGCACCCATATGGCAGTCCATAACTGTCTACACCAGATATACATGCAGGCAAACTATCAAAACACATAAAATAAAAGCAAATTCAAAAAGAAAAAAAAATCTTTTTAAAAAAAAAAATACAATCTAGCATTAACTACTCACAGCCCTGAATTTAAATATTACTTTCTGGCTACACAAAGAGACCTTGTCTCTAAATAATCCAAAAAATTTGCTGCTGACATTCTTCAGCTTTGGGTTAATTGTTGATTTTTGAACACTTATTTAATTTGGTGCTGTAGTTACAAGCCTCCCCATGTATGTGTTACATCAAATGCTGATCCTTTGCAAAAATACCAAGTGTTCTTAATACATGAGCCACCTCACTGAAAAGGTTAAAATAAATTGTTACCAGGCAAAAAAGAGTTAACACTATAGTCTAGTGGCACCAGGAACATATATTTATTGGCTACTTTCTAGTGGATATCTACTGAAGAGATGTCTCAGCAGTTAAGAGCAATGACTGCTCTTCCTGAAGACACTGGCTCTATTTCCAGCACCCACATGGTGGCTCAAAAGCATCTGCATCTCCAGTTCCAAGGGATTTGGTGCTTTTTCATGGCCTCTGTGGGCACCAGGAACACATATGGTACACTTTCATATAAAGAGACAAAACAACCACACCCAGGGAAAAAAAAGAAAAACTTTTTTAAGTTATGAAAAAAATTAAATGAAAAGTACTTAGGAACCAAGAAATACTTGGTTTTTTATGAATATCAAATTTATACTAATTAAGAAGCATCAGAGTTAATGTATGCTATCTATCTTTGACAACTCAACATTTAAAAGATAAAACGATGCTGAAGACAAGTCATTCCTTGGCCTTTTGGCTATGATCAAGTGTACGAAGAATATAAAATGTAGAGTAGAAACAGCCAAGAGAGAAAATACATGTGTAAATAAAAGGACAGTTATATAATCAATAAACCAGTCATAAAGTTTGAGGCCAGCCTGATCTACATAGTGACTTCCAACTCAGGAAGGATTCTATAGTGAGACCCTACCTCAGACAGAAAGAAGGGGGAAAAGTTTGTTTACCTGTATCTGCTGTAAGCTGCTGAGAAAGTGAATGCTTTGTGATTACTGGTGCCATAACCGGTAACTGACAAAGTAGCTCTTATTAATTTACCTGCTGCGGGCTGAAGGCTTTCTATAACTTCTGGAGAAACGAAGGACTCTGAGTGTGGAGAATCTGAGGCTTCCACAGACCACTCCTGAGATACAACAGCCGTGGGAGCAAATGAGTCACCGGGAAGCATACCTAGTTTTGAAACACAGTTTTTAAATGCGGTCACCAATGAAGGGGGAAAGTCAGTTGCCAGCTTAAATCAGTAATGTGTTGTCAAGAAGACACAAACTCAACGACCAATAAAAGCAGAGGTTTATATAGGAAGGTCTGCTGGCACTCTTTAGTTCTGGGTTAATTGTTGATTTTTAAAGACTTAATTTGGTGTTGTAGTTATAAGCCTCCCCAAGAGGGTGCTACATCACACTCTGGTCCTTTGCAAGCACTCTTTACTATAGCCTAGTAGCACCAGGGACACATATTTATTGGTTACTTTCTACTAGATGTCATTAAGATTTAGAGTACTGAAGACTGAGCACTACAAAACACCAACTTCAATGGAATATAGTGGATAGCAAATTACTGTGAGCCTTTATTCACATATATAACAGGATTGGAATCTGACTTTATAAAAATGCTTAATAAATTATTAGCAAGTTGATAAATACAAGGATTATGCTCTTCTATGTCAGACATGAGATTTAATATCAGATGGTTCCAGCTATTACCAATCATTAAATTTCTCTCTCTCTTTTTTTTCTTTCTTTTTTTGGAAACAAAATCTCACTGTTTTATAGGTTATCCTTAATCTCCTAAACTCAGGTGATCCTCCTGTAAAGCCTGCTCAATAGCTGGTGCTACAGGCATAAACCACCACATCCACAAAGACTGCACATCAAATAATAAACGTTATGGTATGGACTAATTGCTATAGGAATGCAACAAGAACTTTTGAGAATTAGATTATCACAAAAGGTTTCAGAGAAGCAGGAGCAGATTAAGGATTAAGAGACCTCTTAGCAGCTGGGCAGTAGTGGTGTACACCTTTAACCCCAGGACTCAGGGAGCAGAGATAGGTTAATCTCTGGGTTTGAGGGCAGCCTGGTCTACAAAGTGAGTTCTATGACAGCCAGTGCAACACAGAGAAACCATGTCTCAAAAAACCAAGAGCTTCATTAGCACGGAAAGCATAAAGACACCAACAAGACAAGAACCTGCTGAACTATGCTATCAATCTTATTCAAACAGGCCTGGCATATTATACCGTACCAACAGGACTATATAATCCATGGGGAAATGATTTGAAAAATCAAAATCCTTACTCTTTCTACTTTTCTTATTTTGGGTTTTTGATTTTGCTTTTTGTTTTGTTTTTCGAGACAGGATTTCTTCTGAAAACCTTGGCTGTCCTGAAACTTACTCTGTAGATCATGAAGGCCTATTACTCAACAGATTCACCTGCCTCTGCCTCCCAAGTGCTGGGATTAATGGCATGTGCCACCACCGCCTGGCTCCCTTTCTGTTTTTCAGTCCATTATGTAATATGGTATTTGAAAGTTATCTCTTAGCTCCATGAATACTGTATGTGTGTTTACTGGTGCCATTATACACATACAAACAAAAATTTCATTTTTCATAATTTCACATTAGTCCAGGTGTGACAGCCCCAAGAAACTGGGAGGTGGAGAGGACAGAATCAGGATTTCTAGGCTGTCCTTGGTTACATAGCTAAAGCCAGCCTAAGCTCATTTCTTATGTAGAACTTACATCAAAATTTTTATTTTTTTTCTCTTAATCATTTGCCATTTATTGTATGGATCTCTGTACAATGAATAAATGATAGACCTGACATAATGAATCTAGTTGCAAACATACCATAACTGTCTTCCAGAGGATCATTTTGCCCTATAAATGCTGAAGCATTTGTGGGCCCACTGGAGACAAAGAGCAGATCTGCCAAATCACCATCATGGTGCACCTTAAAGGGATCTAAAATGAAAACACAATCAAAGAGACATACAGAGTAAATGCAATTAGAAAGATTACCTTTTATTTCCTATGAATGCCGATTTGTTATATTTGTATTGCCAATAGTAAATTAAATAAAATAATATGACTATCTGACAATGACATAAGTATTCACTAATTTGTTATAACAAAATATAATCCATTATTCTCTTAAAATGTGATTATCTAGGAGAACCAGCAAACATAAAACCTCATGAAAGAACACGAATACTCCACTTTAGAATTCTAAGGTGTACAGAGGAAACTAAAATTTCAATATGCTAACAGACATTTTTAAAGTATTTTTTAAAAAAACAAAACAAAAAGAAAATAGGAACTAAGGAAATAGCTTTGTAAATAAACTGTTGGCCATAAAAGCATCAATACCTGAGTTATCCTCAGCCCCCACAAAAATAAAGCCTGGTATGATGGTACATGCTTATAATTTTAGTGCTGGAGACACAAATACACATACATACATACATAAACACACAAAAACTAAAAACCAGGGAGGGAGAGATGGCTCCGTGGTTAAGAGCACTGGCTGTTCTTCCAGAGGACCTGGGGTTCAATTCCCAGCACCCACATGACAGCTAACAACTGCCTGTAACTCCAGTTTCTGGGGATCTGACACCTTCATACCAATCCACATAAAATAAAGTTAACTAAATTATTTTAAAAAAAAGAATGTAATGCAAATTTCTAGTTCTTTAAAAAAAATATCAAAGCCAGGCGATGGTGGCGCACGCCTTTAATCCCAGCACTCGGGAGGCAGAGGCAGGCGGATCTCTGTGAGTTCGAGCCCAGCCTGTTCTACAGAGCTAGTTCCAGGACAGGCTCCAAAGCCACAGAGAAACCCTGTCTCGAAAAACAAAAAACAAAAAAAAATATCAAAAACCAAACAATAAACTGTATGCTGGGCAATGAAGATACTGTCTATAATCCCAACACTCAACTTCAAGGCCAACATGAGCTACACAATGAGATCCTGTCTCAAAAAAAGCAAACCAAACAAACAAACTCAGCTATAACATTGTCTGTAGAACAAGAGCAAACAGAACATTTCTCTTGTGGGCACTGTAAAGAATACTGCATCTCAAATGCTTGCTGACATCAGTAGTGAATGCTTTAATCCCAGAGTTCCAGGGAAGGCCAGTAGGTAAACATAGTGAGCTATCTATCTTTAAGAATAACGTCTTGGAACTAGAAGACAACTTTTGAGAGCCACTTCTCTGGCATATAAGAAGCACTGCTCTTAATGCAGCAATTTCTTTGGGAAAAATTAGGGTGCTAAGGGATTCCTGAAGCTTTAGCTTTTAATGTACATGAATGTGAGACAGTTTATTAGTAATCGATTTTGAAAAGATTAAAAAAAAAACTACCGGGACCTAAGTGCTTTTGAAGAAAGGATAAATAAAGCTGGGTGTGGCCGACCCACTTCTGAGAGACTGAAGGGCTGAGGTAGGAGAATTGCTACTGTGAAACTACATATAGTGAGAGACCCTATTTCACACAGAAAGAAAAAATAAAGGATAAATAAAGATAAAGGTCCAAGCAAATGTTTATGGAAAATAATACTTTGATCATGACTTACTGAACTATTTTGAAGCTAAAATGCTACAGTCTTGTCCCCTACCTCACAGCTCACATTTAGCAGTCAAAAACAGCCTGCACTTACCAGCCTGCTTAGTACCTAACACTTGCTGAGGCTGGGAACAAAAGCTTGCATCTTGTGGCCAGTTCTGGCTGTTCTGATATTGCTGGTAGGCCATTTTCTCTTCAAGGAAGTCAGTAGGAGACCCTTAAGATACAAACAAAAATAAATTACAAGACATCACTGTTTCTAATCTGTAAGCATTTACAAGTTACAGATAGAACAATATAACACAGGCGTATCTAATAAACCTAATAAACAACTTTGAAGCGGGGAGTTGTTTGCTGTGTTTCTGAGACAGGTTTTTCATTATTTAGCCCTGGTTGGCCTCAAACTTAACTCCCTATGTCTGTTTCCTGGAGTACTAAGATTAGGGGTGTGGGCTACCAAGCCCAGAAAGGAGAAAAAAAAGTGTTTTAAAACTAGAAGGAAATGGAAAGGTCAAAACTAAAAAATTCAATATTAAGAAGGTAATTCTTGGGCAAGCAAGATAGCTGAGTAGCAAAGATACCTGCTAGCAAGCCTCATGACCTAAGTTCAATTCCCAGGACCCACATAGTAGGAGGAAAAACCAACTTCTTCAGGTTGTTGACTGACTGACTTCTACAAGAGCACCATGTACTTGCTCCCAAACACACATACACACACAAGAAATTTAAACAAACAAATAAATAAAGGCAATTATCAAGCTAAGTAATAAATTCAAGGCAGTTTTTAAAATTTTGGCCTTCTGGCTAAAATTAAGTTTAGATTCAAAACAAAATTTAAAATCATGTAAGTTTTGAGGGCTGGAGAGATGGCTCAGAGATTAATAGAACTGACCGCTGTTTCAGAGGTCCTGAGTTCAATTCCCAGCAACCACATGATGGCTCACTCCCATCTATGAGCTCTGGTGCCCAGAACACTATATACATAATAAATAAATTTTTTAAAATATTTATTTATTTATTATGTATACAATATTCTATCTGTGGTGCAGGCCAGAGGAGGGCACCAGACCTCATTACAGATGGTTGTGAGCCACCATGTGGTTGCTGGGAATTGAACTCAGGACCTTTGGAAGAGCAGGCAATGCTCTTAACCTCTGAGCCATCTCTCCAGCCCCCAATAAATAATTTTTTAAAAAAAAAAGAGTCTTAGAAAACAACAGTTTAAAAAATAAAGAAAAGTCAGAAAACATTTTAAAAAAAAATCATGTAAGTTTTGAAAAGCTGTCTATTCCAAAATCTATACAGAAGTTGAAATAAAAAAATATAACCAACACGATTTTGAAGAAAAAATAAGTGCAAGGGCTTATACTACCTGATTTCCAAAGTCAGTGTAAGCTCATCGACTCTCTTTGGGACTGATCACACACTTAAGGGCTCCAACCCTGTGCCTGACATAAAGCAAGCACTCAAATGCTGTTACACAGAAAAGAGTTCAGAAGAAAAAACAAAACAAAAACTTCTACTAAGAGTCAATTGGCGGGGGCTGGAGAGATGGCTCAGAGGTTAAGAGCATTGCCTGCTCTTCCAAAGGTCCTGAGTTCAATTCCCAGCAACCACATGGTGGCTCAGCTCACAACCATCTGTAATGGGGTCTGGTGCCCTCTTCTGGCCTACAGGCATACACACAGAATATTGTATATAAGCCGGGCGGTGGTGGCGCACGCCTTTAATCCCAGCACTCGGGAGGCAGAGGCAGGCAGATCTTTGTGAGTTCGAGACCAGCCTGGTCTACAAGAGCTAGTTCCAGGACAGGCTCCAAAACCTCAGAGAAACCCTGTCTCGATAAACAAACAAACAAACAAAAAAAGAATATTGTATACATAATAATAAATAAATAAATATTTTTTAAAAAAAGAGTCAATTGGCGCCTGGCAGTAAGGGCACCTGCCTTTAATCCCAGCATTCTGGGAGGCAGTGAGTTCAAGGCCAACCTGGTCTACAAGGTGAGTTCCAAAACAGTCAGGGCTGTTACACACAGAAACATGCGAGAAAAGTGTCAACTGGATTATCCTAGCACTTGCCAGACACCAAGGCAGCTTGATCTTGGTGAGTTTGAGAATGGACTGATCTATATAGCAAGTTCCAGTAGAGCCAGGGCTACATAATGAGTCCTCATCTCCAGGAGGAAAAAGAGGATAGAGGGGGATCCAATGGGTTTCATCAAAGATACCAACATAAGTAAACAGTATAAGGAGGGGACTGAGAGACAGAGTTTCTCCCTATGTGGCCTTGGCTGGGTGGATTGCAGGTCCTAGATGTCAACCACCTTGACCATGGACTTGCTTTCTGAACACTGTAGTCCCAAGTATAACCCATCATTCCCAAGTGGCTGTAAGCACAAGTGTGGCCCACCGAATGGCCATTTCTTGTTTTGTTAAATTTTCTTAATGTGTATGAGTGTTTTGCCTGTAACTTTGCATATGTCTGGTCAGAAGAGAGCATGAGCTCTCTGGAACTTCAGTTGTAAGACAACACATGAATTCTGGGAACCAAACCCAGGACCTCTGAAAGAACAACCTTTACTCTTAACTACTGAGCCATTCATCTCTGTGTCACTGACAGTTTTTCAGCAAGCAACACAGGAGTAACTGGATACTTAATTTATACCATTTATAAAATTAACTCCAGATACATCAAAGACCTAAACAAGAATTATAATCTTAAAAGCTTGCAAAATGATACAGAGGAAATTTCTGTGGTCTTCAGGTTATGTAAAGATATGTTGATGCATCAACAAAAAATCACTTTCCACAGAAAAAAGACCATGTAAATTAGACATCAAAACTTTAAACTGATGAACAAGGCAGATAAGAACACAACTCTAGTTCCAGCACGTAAGAGGTACAGGCAGAAGGATCGAGAAGGCCAGATTGTGTTGAGACTGCCACAACACACACGCACATGATCATAAACCTTTATTAAAGAACTTACATGCATAAAAGGGTAAAATCAATTATAACTGAATTATAAGTCAAATTAATAATGGACATTTCAATAAAATATATACAATGGATATTGCACTTAAGAAAACAGCTCATTATTATTTGCCTTTAGGAAAACACAAATTAAAATATTAATGAGACAAAGTATTAAATATTTAAAAAGTCTATAATCAGCTGGGGCATAACTGAACGGTAAAGTGCTTATCAAGCCCCGAGTTTAATCCCAAGCACTGAGAGGAAGAGGAAGAGTGATGGCTGAAGAGATGACTCAGTGGTTAAGAATACTTGCTGTTCTTGCAGAGGATACAAATTTGGTTCTCAGCACTCATGCTGGGTGATTCACAACCACCTATAATTCCAACTCTGAGGCATCTGACACCTTGGGTCTCTGTGGGCATCTATACGCACATGTAAACACTCACACTTAATCCTAGCATTCAGAAGGCAAAGGCAGGTAGAGCTCACATGAGTTCAAGGACAGCCTGATCCAAACATCAAATTCCAGGTCAGCCAGGATTACAAAGTAAGACTTTGTCTCAAGAAATAAATATCTAAGAATTAAAAGTTATGATCACTAAGACTGACAATACAGGAAGATTTTAATGTTTCAGAAATCTGGAAACTTTCTGTTAAGAATATAAAATGGCCCAGGTGGTGGGGCACGCCTTTAATCCTAGTACTTGGGAGGCAGAGGTGGCAGATCTCTGAGTTCTAGGCTACACAAAGAAACCCTGTGGGGAGGAGGGAAGTAAAATGGCACAGGCAAATTCAGAATGTTTGCTCGCTCCTTCTGTTTATTTAAGTATTTATTTGTGCACATCTGAGTGAGAAAATGTGAGTTTGTGTGGAGGTTGGACGGCAATTTAAGAGTCTGTTCTCTCCTTGTACCACATGGGTCCTGGGTATTGAACTCAAGTTTGGCAGCATTTAAACCTGCTGGGCCATCTTGCCTAACTTCTTATCATTGTTTAAATAATATCTTTATTGAGGTGTAATTCACATTAGTGAAATTCATTCTTTTTAAATGTAGGATTGAGGGGGATTGGTATGTTGACAGAGATGTGTCAGATCTTACTTTGGAACATTTTCTTCATTCTCAAAGAGAAATTCTATAATCTTTTATTATCCAAGTCTACCTCAGTCCCTGACATCAACTCTTTGTTCCTGTAATGAGCATGGAAGCAGATTCCTCTGAATAAATAAATAAAGGGGAATCTGTAGTGTAGATAGAGCAGGAAATTTATAGAATAAGAATGAATGTCACTTGGTGTAATGTAAAAGCATTTCTTCTTGTGTGTGGTATGGAAAATTACTACGGAGAAATATTAAGAGAACATTTGCCCGCTTGAAGGCCACCACACCCATCTGGCCCTGCCAGATGTGGGGGCTGCACCCAGCAACTGTGGTAACGAAATAATCTTGCCACACAAGAGGGACACCCCCACCCTTCTGTGGCCAGTGAATACTGATAACCTAGGACATCTGGTTATCGGAAGGACCAAACGAGGAGCAATTTTGAACTGACTTAAAAGAGGTGGCTGAAGCAGGACGGTTATCTCACTTCTCACAAGGCTATGGCACCAGGCCTCTGTGGAAAGAGAGATCCTCCTAGCCTGCCTCCCGAAAAGCAGCAATATTGAATGCCTTGCCTAAACATTTAATGCTCTGTCTCCCGAGCACAGAGATTTGTCTCCCGAAAACAGATAAACGCCTTGCATCTCGAATGCAAATCCTCATTCCATGAGAGTGGACATTGAAGGTCTGTCTCCCGAGAGCAGACTAGATACTCTGTCTTTCAGAATGCTTTGCCATCCCGAAAGCAAAGCTTCGTCTTCTGAGCAGACAGAACGCTTTGCCATCCCGAGAGCAAAGCCTCATCTTCGAGAGTAGAGAACTAAAAGCCTTGTCTCCCGAGACTCGGTAACCCGAAAGCCAAGTCAAATACCAAAAACCCGAAAGCCCTACCAAATACCAGCCTGAAACATCAGGACCTTATCTCCCGAGGGCAGACTAGAGTCGATCTTCACTACCCAGCCCCCGGTGTGGACAAGAGCTCTTGTAGACCAGGCTGACCTCGAACTCACAGAGATCCCCCTGCCTCTGCCTCCCAAGTGCTGGGATTAAAGGCGTGCGCCACCACCACCTGGCTCAAGCGGCCTTTAGTGACTGCCCTCTTTCATTTATGATTTCAAAGTGATGCTAGTTATACTGTAAC